TGGCTACCCAACGTGACTCGTAGGGCTGTGGATGTAGAGTTAGGTTTAATGGGTGAAAAAAAAATGCAGTGGTTAAAGGACAGAATTATTAGACAGGTACTGGAATCTAGAGACACCACGTCAGAAATCTTCCTTCGAAGGCACAGCGGTCTAATTGAAACATCAATTCTCTACCTTTTCAAAGGAAAAATCTGGAAGGTAGTCTGTTCCAACTCAGCCCGATTCCAAGCACTTCAATGTAAAATAGGATTGCTTAATGTCCACTGTGTTGATTTGATAGATGATCACAATTAATAACAGAGAGAAAATTCACATTTATAAAAATTTGAAGATGCTGTCCTTGTAACATGTCTGAAATGTCACATACGGTTAGCAGATAACAACCTTTAGCATGCTTAACGATGGCTATGTAGCTAACACATTTCAGGATACTTCACACACTGTACAGTCACTATTGTAAGTAAATTTAATAGCACCAAATTATTTAAATGAAGTGTTAATCAGGAAACAATTTATCTCTACACCACAAGCTATTTTTAGATGTGAACTTTCTACATCAGTGGCTCTTGCTGCAGCTCAGGCTTCGGGTTGTTTGCAGAGGAGAAGAAATAAATGACTCTGGGGAGAGATTTCAGGAAGAAGTTCACCTTCAGGTCACCAGCTCAACTCCAACCCAACTCGGGAGTAATTGAAACCCGGACCCGCTCCTGCTCCAGAGTCAGCAAGAACTGAGCCAGCTTCTCAAAGGCAGAGAGACGTGGCCAGCGGCTGATTTGCAGGAGTGCTGGCCCTTACGACACTGCAATACGCCACCAACTATTAGATACAGTTGGAACTGAGCAACTCCACAAGTTACCCGCTTCTGAAGTACTTCCAACTGAGACGCATCAACAGAGTGATGCTCACTGCCACGTAAATTTAATTTAAATTTAAGTTACTTAAGCATCATTCAACAACCTTAAGATGCCACAAAAGTAACAAAACTTTGCATTAAAGGGAACAGACCTCCATTACCCCTAGCTACAAGTTAGCATACAAGCACCTATCACAAAGCCACAGTTAAAATCTGTTATTTAAAGCCTTCATATAATAAACCTAAAACAACTCCCCACCTCTCCAAACTGCCTGGCAGAAGTGGCCACGCAGAATCCCAATTCTGACAGGATAAACCCCAAACAGCACCTCCAGGAACCCAAGAAAGCCCAGAGACCAGTTTTTCCTTTTGCAGTGTCATGGCAAAACTTCTATGGAGAGAAAAATCGAGCTTTTTCCAGGCAAGGTGTCTGGGCTTGCAACAGCAGAAACAGCCTTACTCTATTCTGTACTGTCAGAAAACAGACAAATGAAAATACTTCTTTTCCCCACTGCTGTTTTCACTCCAGTTTGGTCACTGCCCTACCATGGCGACACACACCATGTGGACACCCAGCAGGAAAGAGTAGTCTTGGGTTGTTTTTTTTTTTTTCCCCCCCATAAATTCTCATACAGTTGGTTTTCCGTTTTTTTATTTTACATCTCTGAAATGGAAGCTCTCAAGAAAGACTGGAACTTGGCTTTTTCTGTGAAGATGATTATTTCCCAGAGACATCTGCTTCCAGATGTTTGGGATGTAAACCTACTTACCGATTGGACAGCTGTCACAGAGATGGTTATTACATCTCTGTTTATCAGTCTTTAAAACTAGAAAAATAATCTCGTTCCTCAAGACAGTCTGCCACAAAGCACGACTAAATTCAATGTGCTAGGAACGACGTGCTTTTAAACTTTTCCTTCTGCATGTGACATCTACACCACTTAGATCTAACAGACAGAATTTTCACTTACTGCTTGGTTGTTAGAAATCATACTACCAAATAACTGAGTATACTCCTCTTGAGTGCAGGACAACGACTCCCTGCTTAGCCTAATTCCTTCTGCTCTTCTCAGAGCAACACTATGGGAAGCGCCTTGGGAAAGATCTTCCCTGACACCTACAGCAAAGGGTACCAACCTCTGAGCCAGCATCCCCATCACACGTACTTTATAAGCCACCAGTTGACAGGCAAGAGGCTTTGCCTCCGTATTAGACCAGCCGATGTGCTGGCATCTATCCAAAATATAACTCATTCCACTAAGAGACAGAGAAAAGTATCTGCTGAGCGCTCCTGAAGGATTAAAACATGTCAGCTATAGGCAATCAGACATCAAATACATATATTTATTGGAAAAGTTGCCACAGAAATCCATATTGAAGGGGCATCTTCTGAACAGCGTTTACTAACAGAACATGGGTGATTTCAAATTTGACAACAGAAATGCACTGATTTTGATGTTTGAATGAAAATAAGTTCAGACGTTTCCAGGAACACAAGTTAGTGGAAAACGGGCAATCTCAGACAAGAAATGCTTTCAGCGGGCCTGTGCTATCCCCACGTATAAGCCAGGATGTTTAATTCCATTCCAAGGGGCAATCTCAAACACGACATTTGAATTGAGCAGTGGCGTTCTTTTAATATCTTCGCTTTTTCACTGAACTGTACACAGTCACGTAACTGCAGAAGGCAAATTAGTCTGTTCCTGACCACATACTGACACCACTTCTAAGCATGGAAAATATTACTCCATGTACCAAGTCTACACTGGCAAAAAGCACGGAAGAACAGAAAACATCATTGTTTTGGGGAAAAAGCAGTATGTGAAGCAGTGAGAACGTGGCGTATTTGCATGCCTAAAAATAAAAATAGCAAATGCTGATTCTTTCTGTGCTTGGTCCAAACCTCCTCCACACAGCAGCTCTGTGTACAGAAAACTCCCAATGAAAAAAAACAGTAAAACACAATTTCAACCCTACGATCAATTTTAAAGCTTCATTTGAGAGGAAGACAACATGTTGCCAGCACTAACAACTGAGAAAAAGCTCTGAGACAGCACCACAACCTGCAAGGGATAATTTGCAAACGTTTTTAGTTGCATGACAGACAACTACAGAGACACCCAATGTTCTCCCAACACTCCAGAAGCTGAGTGCCGGGTACCTACGGGTCTCCCACCCAACAGAACCTGGAACCCTCTGCATAAAAACCACTGCCAATATACTTGACTGCAAACGAACAAGCCAGGCACGGCTTGTGACAGCATCTTTTTTACAAAACCAATACTCCCCTAATGTTTTCCAGTCCCTCCCTGCAATGCAGCTCTTCAGCCTCACCTGAACACAGGTGTACGGAGAGCGGCATAGGGACCGATGCAGAGCTGAGCTGCTGCCAGCTATAGGGGTAACATAATAAAGACATCAATGCTTGCTTTATCTATGGGAACAGCACCATTTTTGATTAAAATTAAAGAAGCAGGATCAGTGCAGCATGCCAGCTGCGTGAGAGGGGAAACGAAGACATTCCAGTGGGTAACGATAGAGAAATCAGGTTCTACTTCCCTTGGATCCAACTCTTCCATACATTAGGAGGGTATGAACTACTCGAACCATGATAGGTGTCTTGAGCTGTGGTAGGCAGACACCAGCAACAGAAAAGTTTTTCTGTATTTCTAAGCATAATGATAAAGAAGCCAAAAGAGAAGACAGAAGGTCCAACGATTCCCATGGGCCAATTCCATGCTATAAACTTTATATTAGTATGTCTCTCTGAATACATTTTTGGAAACAGACTTCTCTGGAGCAATCAAGTCATTGTGCTCAGATCTCTGAAAAGCACAAATCTCTTATTTAAACGTCTTACTGCTGGGTTTATTGACTCAGTCCAGCACTTTTCTTCCCTAAATTATTGAATATGTTAAAAAAACAAAAATACTACCCCCCTCCCTGCCCCCAAATCATCTAAATAAAACAGCAAAATGGAAAAACCAAACCAACCATGAATAATTTTCTCCTAAGGACTCTTCCAGTGGCAATGCCAGCTCTGTGCATCTTGAGGGGCATGTTACCGCTTGAAAAAGACTCTGATGAAATCCTAGCTTCAGACATTGCCGGTCCCAGGCCAAACTAACACAACATGCCACGCAAGATCTCCAGGGATGTCTGCTCAGCCGCACCGCTGTAAAGCCACAAGGCTTTTGTTCCTTTTCTCAACATTCACCCCAATGAGCAGCATCTGCAGCTGGAAGGAAAATCCTTCTCCCTCTTCCCTGAACACAGAGGAAGGCACATTACAGAAACGCAGGGAATTACATCTCAACTTGAAGCGTAAGGTAACTATTGCTATCCAAGACAAGACCCTTGAACAGAAGATGACCGAGTTCCTTCCTGTAGCCACTCATCCCACCTGTGTAGCGGGCCCTGCACAGGGACAGAAGTGGGTTGGATGGCTTTATCAGCAGATGCTGGAGGTGTTTATGCTCATCACAAATGCAAAAGGCACTCGGAACTTTATGGACGCCATCCCAAATATGCTGACAGAACTTCCATGCCAGCACTATACCGTTATGTGTTTTGTGTAAGCTGTGCAGTTTACAAGACCAATTGTCTTAAATGTTTTTCCTTAATGCAATTTTTAAAATCCACTTAGCTGTATGGAGAAGTACTTCAGCGAACAATAAACGTCTTTATAGCTCCTTGTGAGCTCTAAACAAACTACCTCCATAAACCAACTAAAATAGCTTTCTACAGAAGAATCTTGCTGTTGGAAAGTCCAAAATGATAAACTACAATAATACATTCTTCTAAAGGTGAAAAGAGGTGCTGTGGATCCCACCAGGAAGCCACAAAAAGCCCTTCCAAATTATACATCTCCTGTTTTTCCAAACTATTAGATGTGAAAAGTAGTCATAAGGCAGCATCAATTCTTCACATATGTTATTTTCTCTGAAATTGCGCAGGGTTTTGGCAAGTCTAATGTAACAAATATACAAAGATGGATGTTGAAGGTCACTCAAACTTAGAATCTCTTGTGGAGGACAGATCTGCAGCCAGGGCTTAGAAAGTTACCCATCAGTGGTTACTTGTACAGGGTCAAGTACAAACACAGTCCTTCCCTTTTTTTTTTTTGCTGAGCATGGTGCTGTCTTACCTGAATTTGGCGAGATGTGTAAACTGCTCATGTCCTTGGAGAGGCCGTTGGTTTTGGGACTGGAGATGGGTGCACAGGCTGACGTGGCTCGGGGCGGCCTCTTCCCGGGGACTTTCACAGTGGTTCTCAGCAAGTCGATTTCCTTCCCGTGAACGTTCTGCATATAGTCCTGGGAACAGGGTGGGGCGAAAAAAGAAAAGAAAACCACAAAACCCAATATCAAACAGGTAGTTCTATAAGCAACAGAACTAATAAAACCTGGTTTCGTAAGACAGTCTTATATCATCTGCCATCACCCAGTGCACCATTTGCCCCTTCCTTCCCTTTCCTTGACAATCCCTTCCATGCTTTTCACTGCAAGCACTCCCAAAGTCTTGAGCTCTCTACTACATCCTCCAACTACCAGCTGGGTAAGAGGCAACTCACAGCGTGGCTGGTTCTGAGCCACATGTAGGGATTCCCCAGCCAGCAGATCCCAAACGGGAGGAGAAGACAAGGCTGACTGTCCCTCATGAGCCTACTTTGTCTCCTCTCTGACAATGTCTTACACATTCTCTTCCTCCTTCAAACTTTGCCGAAATAGGTCAACAGGCACCAAAGTTAAGAAAGGGCACTCACTGCCTGGTGAGGTTTCTGCAATTACAGCGCTGTTTGCTTAGAATATCATCCTTCCTCCACACATTAAAAAAAAAAAAAATAGAAGGGAAAAAATTACACAAATTGTGTCTGATGAGAGTAAATGCACTAAAAGCTGGGAGCCAGAAGTGGAAAAGGCTTTTCCTAGTTCTTGCTTGGAAAGCCCACAAAGAGGAAACAAGCAGACAAAGCCAGTCAGCTGTGGAATGACAGAGTCAACTGACTGGAGCCAAGCCACCGCTTCCCATGAAATCCGTGAGGAAGTTCTACAAACTGGAAAAAGCGTCTGGGAAAAACAGGCTCTTGAGATCCTGCTTTCCAACTCCAAAGGCATCCCCAGAGTGCCCGTGGGCTGCTTCAGATGAAAACAGAAAAGCAAATGGACACGGGTGTCTTTATCAGAAGGCAAATGACAATTCATTCAGGTGAGACAGGCGCTGAGGCTGCCATCCTGGGACATATCAGGAAAGATATTTCCAGGAGAGATGGTGAATGTTAAAGCCAGTGCACAAAGACACCAAAGTTTTCACGTCCTGGTACGCATGGTTGTGGTTACTTGCATTCCAAAAGGAAACAAATGAAACTGGAAAAACTATGAGGGCACTAAAAGAACGACAGAGACTGTATCTTACGGAAAGACATGGAAAATGTGTAGCACAGGATAGAAAAACAAGGGTGAAGAAGCGTAAGAGCACTGCACAGCAATACATTTTGGTATATGTACCCCAAAGAGGAGAACAGCAATTTGAACCCGAGAGTGAAGAAAGACCTGGCCGTAAGCTCTTCAGTTAAGCTGGAAACCAAGGGAATGGTATTGTTGAGCAATCTTCTGCGTGGAGCAGCTGGGGCAAAAAATCTAATTCCTTTTCAGATGGAACTTGATCAGCTTACCAAGACCTGGGTGATGCTCCGGGCATCTGCATGACCAAAGACTAGTCAGCACAGGCATAACTCCTGGCTGGCCAGGTGGCCAGGGCATGATTTAGCCAGATTACCAGTCTTATATGAAAACCCACAAATACTAACTAGGTTGGTTCCAAACCTGCAGCATCCACAACCTGTACACCACCAGAGCATCAATTTTACACATAAATACCTGAATGGACTAAAAGCAAACCCAGGGTTGACATCACTGCTGCCACAACACCGGGAGCAACCAGCGCCCTCGAAAACTCTGCCACCTTTGGCAGTTTTAAAAATACACATTATACATTCCTCTCAAAACAAATCTATCACCAGACCAGCATTTATTTCTGTGATTATTCTGTGACAAAACCCCCAAACTAAGCCATCACCTGAGGTTTTTTTTTCCCCTCAGCTGGTTGAGAATTATTAACAGTAAAAAGAGAGGCTCCGAACAATTACTGGGGTGCAGCAAGGAAACAGAGACAATCTGTTAAAATCCATTCACTAGGTGTTAGATAGAAACAACAAACCCAGTTTCATCCATGAATGATCAAGTTGGCGTAATTTTCTTGTTCAGTGTCAGTTCTTCACAAATTAAAATATAATAAGCAGAACATAATTGAGCATTTATTGCTTATCATCTCTAAAATGAGGTTTAATCAGACAGTAACTAAACCTCAGCCTGTACTCTTTTTAATAGACAGATTTTATTTAACATATAACAACCAGTGTATTCCACATAAATTTGAGAAGGAGGTGTTTATTCCAAATCCTTCAGGTGAAGAGTGTGTACAAGTTCCCTGCTACCCTGCCAGCTTGTCAGATGTGACAGAGCATTGTTAAAGTCCTTTTAATTGAGACTAAACCAGGCTTAGGTGAGCTACAAACCATTCGAGAGAGTAAGTGAATGCTGGCAAATGGGAAATAAATGCTCCACAGCCACACCGTTATTATACGAACATGCCCAAACGCAACAGATGCCACATAGATATTAATGTCAGCTTAAATATTTATAGGGATATATCAATGTAAATAATAAAGCCTCTTTCATTGTGTGCAAGATGCATAGTGATAATCTCTGCAGTTCCCCAAGGAGGAGAGGCAAGCACCAAGTTCCCAGTCGGCAGAGCATCCGCCCTGATGCACTCTCCTTCAGATCTGCACTTGGGGAATAAAAGTTAAAACTACAAAATAATGTCGCAGCTTCAGAAGTGCGATGGAGGGTTTGATCAGATTAGAACAGATGAGGGTCTTGCTGTCATCTGGAATATGCTGTGCTAAAGAGAAGACAGCAAGCCTGATTTTGATATGCAAATGTTACAGATATAACTCCCCTAGATGTTAGTTGTAGAAAATGCTGATCCGAGAAAAAAGGGGAAAAAACCCTTTAACAAGGCATGAGGGTAATTCAAAGCCAAGTACTTTTAAACAGCACTTAACAAGTCCCTAGAGCCCACTCAACAGCGGGCCACCCCAGAAGTGCCATCTTCTGCCCCTCAACAGCTTGAAAAAGTAGTAATTGCAAATCCATTTGCATTTTTCTTCTCAACTTGTCCATGTTCATCATTCAGCAATAACAAAAAAAACCACCCAAAACAACCAAGCAGCAAAGGCAAGGGAACCCTCCCTGGATGTGCAGATGAGAAGAGAAGCCGGTGCCCCACTCCCCCGCACCCCCGCGCCTGCACCTTCGCCATCGCTTGTTTTTTACATTTCGCTCCTAATTATGTTGCATCTATTGCCATACACTTAATTAGCTGCATTAATGTGATTTCTTTTCACATAGTCAAGCAATTAAGAGCTATGATTGAGTTTCATTCAATTAGCCTCAACAAACATGCTAATTGATGTCCCAGATGCAAATGAGGTGCAATGAGAGAAACCTGCTAGCAATTGAGAGTTGTGGCGGGGGGACCCACGGCGCCCAGCCTGCTGACAGCAGCACGGCTTAACACGGCTCCCGCTTTCCGCAGGGCTTGGGGGGAAAAAAGCCATTAGTGCCTCAGTTGTCCCAAATGGATCCCTACAGGAATCCCGGGCAGCGCTGAATCAAATCAACGGCTCCTCCAATTCTCACGGCACCGGCTGGTCGGAGATGGAGAAGAGCGGAGCGTTTTCCTGCAGCCAGGGAGGCATCACAGACCCTGTGAACGCCACGGTTCCTTCAGCTAGAGGACTATAAAAGGTCTCCATCTAATCTCCAAGCTTATGAAATACTGCACAGGTAATGGCCTGCAGTTATCAGTAACTGGCAACTTAATCTTAGTCGGCTGTGGGGCAACGCCGCCTCTTCGAGTTGCGGCCAGAATGCATCAATCAATCAATAATCCCTAAAAATACATTTGCTATATTGATTTTTTTCATCCTGAGGTTACCGTTAGCGGTTTGCTCAAACACAGTGCTGCCGAGGTGTTAATTTGACTACTCAAGGCCATTGACCATTATCTGGAGGACGAAATAAACTGTTAAAATATCAGCGAAAATCGTAAAAGCTACATTGACTGAAGATGACACAAAATATTATTTGACTTCACCGCAAAATGAATTGCCTTGAGTAAGAAAGAAACAATGTGCCATGACACAGAATAAAGTAAAATTACTTTAGTTCTGCTCTTAGTACAGCTCTCCAGTCACAACAGCAGAAATTAATTTAACCAATTAACTAAACAGAAGCCTTTCAGACATGCAAATGGAGCAAATTGGTATGATGATGTTTTCTAAGCAGACCTACCAAACAGAAACTCTGCTGTTTTAGGGGGGCCCTTTTGTTTCCAATGCCAGTGGTCACTAAACTCGCTGCCATACATTGTCATAGCTTCTGATTGCCCTCCAAGCCAGAGAAGATGCTCCATCAAGGGTCACAAGCTGAACCCAGGCTACGTGATGCTTCTAGCTGGCTGCCTGCTTTCTCCCACCCGAGAAGACTGAAGACCACAGCCAAACGTTCTTCATAGAATCACAGAATAGTCTGGGCTGGAAAGGACCTTAAAGATCATCCAGTTCCACCCCCCTGCCATGGGCAGGGACACCTCCCACTAGCCCAGGTTGCTCAAAGCCTCATCCAGCCTGGCCTTGAACCCCTCCAGGGATGGGGCATCCACAGCTGCTCTGGGCAACCTGGGCCACTGCCTCACCACCCTCATGGTGAAAAATTGAGGGAAAGGCAGAAGAAAGTGGTGGCTGCTGAGTCCATGAAACTGCAACTCAAACTCACACCATCCAAGTCTACCACAGATACCCCAAATACGTCACATGTGGCAGCATGGTTCCTCCCTAGAGCGATCCTGAAGTGAAAGATGTGGCTCCTGTTAGGTATCTAATGCTATGGATATCAAACATTATGGAGTTTGAGGATTTTCAAGTGTCTCTAATACAAGAGATGGTCATCCTTGTCACACACACACACAAAAATGCCTTTCTACTACCTAGTTTGTATTTCAAAAACATTGCATTTCATTATGAGCGTACTGAGCAAGAAAATGTGGATGAATGCCAGTTACTGAATATCTATCAGTTACTACCTTGAGAGCTAAATCCCCCATACCGCTCCGTATAGCTGCCTGCATGCAAAGTGAGAACACAAATCCCCCGTCCTTAAGGCAGGTGTCCTCCTCTTGATTTGCACAA